TAACAAAGAAGCTGATTTTTAAAAAAATGTTTTTTTTTTTTTTTCTAGACCATTGTAATTCCAAGCCCTAACTCCATATAACTGACAGTAACACCACATCACTGACAGTAACACCACATCACTGACAGTAACACCACATCACTGAAACTCCACCCCTCCCCACATCACTGACCCTAACCCCACATCACTGACACTAATCCCTCATCACGGACATTAACCCCACATCTCTGACACTAATCCTAACCCTAACCCCACATCTCTGACTGCACCCTACACCCCCTCTGTAATCTCCACGGTAATGTTAACTGGGCCTCTCCAGTGACCAGGGAGAACATAATCCCTGGTATTTCTGAATGTCACAGCGTAAGGACGCCTCCGCCTCTCAGCAGGCTTCAGCAGCCCCTGTGGCAGCGGCATGGTTTCTGGGGCTTCGTGCGAGAATGTGTCTGAGCGCCTAAGTCCCCTCATGCCCTGCCCCTCCGCTGGCATGATGCTGACATACCTGGGGTCCAACCTGCAGACCTGCCCGTGAAGAGACCCGAAGCACCTGCAGGTCCGTCTCAAGCCAGGCCAGCGCTTTCTTCCATCTTAATTAAATATGTGATTTTTGATTTCCGCACACGGATTTACCTACCATGCATGCATGGAATCTATTAGCCTTGATTCATCACCTCTTTGAGGGTCCCCAATCTTTATGTCAGGTAGCCACCATCATTGAGAACAGCGGTCAATGCCTAATCAACATCCGGCCAAGATCAGCGAAGCCAGAGAGAGCTAATGGGTCTGACCGGCATTTTTGTGGCGGACATCCCACACTTCCGCCGTAGCCTCGGGAAGTGGGGCAATGCGACACACCATGCAGGGGTAAATATCGCCCGCACGGTCTGCAGCGTGCTACTGCGGAATGCACGGTTTCCGTGTTAACGAAGAGCTGCTCTGCACTCCCGGCTAAAACCAAGCGAGTTTTCAAAAGGCAGTCAACTGAACATCTTACGATGATTCCGATACTGGCCAAAGGTGCGGTTTGGCTCGGCAGACGATACGCTTGGCCCAAAAATCTGGCCTCGTGGCCAATCCAGGATCTCCGATTTCCCACTGACGGTGATCTGTAAGAGATGCTGGGTTACACAATACGGTTTGCAATGGATTCTACCGGGCAGAAGAAAGAGAGTTATTCAGGCCTTCACCCAAATAAAAGCAGCATCAATCACTCCTTCGCTACATTGTGTACGTTTCTCCAATTTGAACCTTTTTTCCCTTTCAGGCAGGATTCCTAAAAGAACGTATCTGTGTGACGGGGAATCTCAAGCCCTCTGGTTTAACTGCTCTGTCGATCTCTTCATACTATCGGCATTTAACACAGAGGAGACACCACGGCAGTCGTGCATCGTATGTTCGACACCTGTCCGCAGCCGGTGATTTACATGCATGTCAGGAGCTTCAACACGTGCTATCAGGAGCCCGGGCGGCACAATCGACACGCAACCAGCACTGCTGCCTTTCTCCCCTCTTTCCAGACAGATTACGAGGGACCGCAAAAACAGTCATATCATATATAATTAACGTAGCCTCCTCCAATTATCCACGACTCATATAGATAAAATGTAAAGATCTTCAAAAAGGGCTTTAATCTGGTGAAAAAGTCCCGATGATATGAGTTAATGTAAGATCACCACTGTGTGTGTAACATCAACAGGAAAATACCTCTATGAAGGTAAATACATCCACAAGCATAATAACAAAGGTTCATTTTCAGCATGCTAGCAAATTGCCAGTGATATAAGGTCAAATCATTTATACATAAGCTTGCAATGACAATTAGTACATGATTGCAATTATTATTTGTTTTCATATTATTGTTGTTGTTTTTGTGGCATTTGACAGTAGCAAGAAATTACTCAAATACTAGGGCCTGTATGGAATATATTCTCATATTTTCAAAACGACTTACTAAAATAAACAGATTTAAAATACAAAATAAGAAAATACTAAACACTTGAAGAGAGTTTGGCACGTCTTGAAAACTGGATAGCGAAGGATCTAAAGGGCTTGTTATTATCATGTACCTTGTAGTTTGTTTATTCCAGAAAACTTTTTAAAAAGTTGTGTAATTTGGATCAGGAGATAATTGGTAAATGTATTTTTTTTCCATCAAACAAAACATGTGTCCCGTTCCAGTATTTTCGTCTCGACCTTAAATTAGAGTAAAAAACTAGAGTCATAATAGCAGGGACTAAAATAGGATTGTTATCTAAGTATCAAGTGGGCGTAATTTAATAGTCTGAATGTATACACATGCGCTTCGTGTGTACATCCTGTGTAGTGCTTTTTCCAAAGATGTCATTACAATTAATTAATTACCAATAACGAATGAAACAATATCCTCTATTTAAAAGAGAATGCAAAGACGAGGGGAAACGGTTATAAAGCCAGCTCGTCTTGTTTTCAACCACAGGATGAATTACATAAGCGAATGAAGGCGTCCTTTCCCGTCATTCTCCTGCTGGTGCACTTTAATCCCATGCAGAAATGGCAGGAATATGGGTCAGCAGGTTAGGAGTGTCTCGAAGTCGGGCTTCTCCTGAAACGCTAAAAGATCAACGTAACAATGTAAGGACTGAGCGTCTTCCTATCCGCCCGGACACTGTATTACATAACCAGCGCCGGTAACGGAGTGGATGGATGGACGCTGCTTTAGCAGCCGTTTTTTCCTGAAACCGCTGTGGGACTGAAACGCCGCCAGCAGCGTGCAGATGAAGGGACGATGCGGGTTTTTAATCGCACAGATCGCCGCTGTTTATCCGCTAAACCAGTTACATAAGCGCCTTTCTATACACCTCCAGCGATGCACTATAAACACTCACGGGAAGGAACACGCGGGACTGAATCCGCACGCACGCGTCACATTAGCGTGATCCCCCGCACGCGGTGATCCGTCTGTACACGCACCGCTATGGGTTTTTTTTTCTTGCGTGAACGTGGGCAGTCTGAAGGGGGTGTGGCTATACTGTCTGTACTGTAAAACACCGACGGCGCTCTATCAGCCATATTCCTCAGCGAAATATGAAAAAATAAAGTAAAAATGCAGAACAGACCCAAAGCAGACGGACACACCCTCGGCGCACCGACAGCCTCGTCGTCCGTCAGCTGTCATCTGCTCCCTAACTATATGTCTGAAATGTGCCTGGTGCCTGTTCTGCTCATGGTGCGATGGCAGATCATCTAAATCTCCATGCTGCTGACACACGCTTTGGAAACGCGGCTGCTTACAGTCATATAATTCTGCTTTTTAACTTTTCTGCAGGCCTGCAGAAATATAGGTATGAAATATGGATGAAAATGCGAAAAAGTGAGACGCTAATATAACTTCCAAAAGGTAGACCTCGGTCACACTTTTCCGAAGTTCACTTCTCCCAATCTCGCAGAATAAAATGATTTGCTAAAATAGAAGCAAAAAAGGTTAACGATATTGGTGCAACCTTTAAATGTAATTAGCCTAATTCAGATAATTATGAAATGCGTGACAGTGCTATTTTGTATTTCAGCTGACAATAAATTGATGTAAAATGTATTCGTTTGCCATCCCAGCTTTCTGTATCCCACCATAATGGCTGGAGCTGTCAATTGTGTGTCAAAGTCTACAGTTCATGCCACTGCTTAGCCAACCGAAACATATCAGAGACACCCGAGAAACTTTTGTCGTGCGTGGGTCTAACTCGATCCCATGAAGTACACGGGATTAGGGACCTTTTCATTCCTCATTCAAAACCTCCGACGTACCAAGGCACTTTGAAGTTAAATAGCCGACCATGCTGGTGCAATTGTCCGTCAATATTTCCCATGTGCAGCCCAGGCACTCACAAGCTTACCTCGATTTGTGCTGCTGCAGCTCTGCCTCCGAACCGGGGCTTGGTGTTCAGCTTTCCGGAGAGTCTCCAGGTTTACCGGGTTCTCCCTGCCAGGGGTAGCCGGCTCCGTGGCGCTGTTTCCCGTCTCGCTTGCTGGATCAGGAGGAGACTCCATGTTTTATGGTAGATGTGCTACCTGAACAGCGCGATTATTTTGCAGCTGGTCTAAATGAATAGAGAGCAGTGAGACTGTGCCGAGTGGTGTATTTTACAGTAGAAGTATGAAATGTATGTGCGGGTCTCCGATTGAGGTGGGTGTGCTGGTTTGATTGTCCACTAGCGGCGCTAGAGAGAGCTTCTGACATGCCAGCGCGAAGGGAGAGCCTGTCAATAGCCGAGAGAATAGATGGAAATACAAGGGATAGAATATTTCCAGCTTTTCTTCCTCTTTTAGATGCATTCGGGGATCGCACTCTGGTGTTTCAAAACAGACAAATGCCACGTACACGCGCTGCTAAACAATGATATCTATAATCGATGTTAAAGATGATAAACGTATAAAGGAATGAACCGACCATATGGTAAACAGCTTATTGTCAGTGAGCAAGGAAATTTCCAAAAGTGCTTGGGTAGATATGCGGGCTGTTTGCGGTTTAAAATGAAGGCAAGCAAGAAGAACCCCACCCAGCCTCAAAAGGAAGCCGTTTGTACCTGTGAAGCAGGACACATAGGCCCAGATCATCTGGGTCTAATAAATAGAAGAGCCGTAATACGTGTGATAGGAACAATTTTTATTTTAATCTATTTCAAGATATGCTCGAAAAATGCAACAGTGTAATAGAAATTGAGAACATTTAAAATTAAACTACTAGATTAATCAGTCACAAAACATAACTGAAATGTTAGGTTTCATCTCAGAGATATTTTTCTTCACATTTTTCACATTATCAGCATTTAATGCCAGGAAACTCTTTCTCCATTCTACAGTAGATGTTGAATACAGTAGATTGAGTTGGTCTGGAAGGTGATTGACTAAAGCAGCTGATCGCGACACGGGGCGGTCCCGTCCTTCGCTGAAAGTTTGTAGGAACAAACTTGATGATAGCCTGGCTTGAAAGTGAAATCGTGTTGACAAATTCCCTACTGTACTGTTAACTCTCTGGGTTCTGTGCATCTCTGTGCGTAACTGTTAACATGGGCATTTGTCATGCGATATGTTTAATAGGCTCTCTGCCAGCTCCTTCATTACAAACGCCATGCCTCTTACATGTGATCACTACCGTTACGCGTGCTGACGGCCCCGCCCCTTCAGACGCACACGTGGACTTTAGCGTGGCAACGTTTCGCAATCAAGGCTGCATACGCCAACGTTACGGTTCTCGGGTTAACTGCTATTGTAATACAAACTGACTGTTAAAGACATGAACAATACGAATTATTTTTCGACTCATAAGTTGTTTGTTTAGTGTTTAACAGATGTGCCTCAAATGCATTTTCCCTTACAAATACCAGAATTATAGCAACAACCATAAAATGTTATTGCCACCACCAGAATCATAAGTATATTTTGTTACTTGCATTTTTCATAGTTGGCAGTTGTGACGTTTTTTCAGTGTTATTGTATTTTGATATTCTGGCTTTTGATTTGACTACCTGCTATTGCCAATAATGATAAAATATAATATGATAATTATGTTATTATTAGTAGTAATTTATGTATGTTAAGAGTAGAATCCCACCTATGTGTATTCCTTAGTAACCCATTTCCTTAAAATGTACATCTGATGAATTTTTTCAGAATAAATAAATAAATGTAATTAATTACCCCATTATCCTAGGTTATATGTAAGAAAACAAATAGTTAAAATGTGAATATGGTCTTTCAGTGTCAAAATAATCCCCCTGTTATTATTTAAACAGTAAGGTTTATAGTGCAGTCTATAGATAAACATTTATTAAAATATAGGGTAATAATACAGCCATAATGTATTTAGCATTGATTTTATTCACTTACACATTATGACCTAGATGATAGTTTTAATTTTGTTTACTGCGTTATACCACTTTTGCATAATGTTCCTTATTTTGAATATTTTGTTCAAATACAGATGTGTAAAATGGCCTCCGTGTGACACGCAGCCTTGTGCCACTTCCTCGTTTATTTGTCACTCATCGCACGCATTACAGCACTATCATTCTGCCGTGTCTTACAGAGGGGGCCGTGTAGAGGATCCGGGCTCTGCCCAAACCTGACCGCGGCACGCTCACGGCCCACGCTCACGGCCCACGCTCAGGGCCCACGCTCACGGCCCACGCTCACGGCCCACGCTCAGGGCCCACGCTCACGGCCCACGCTCAGGGCCCACGCTCACGGCCCACGCTCACGGCCGCTATGGTCACAGCACGTGGGGTCCGGGCCGCCATTTTGCTGACCTGGACGGGGCGGCGGCCTCTGGAAATGGAAGCGACCTCCTGCCGTTCCACGACTCCCAGCGATCGTCCTGTAAAAAGTTTGGAAGATCGTTACTGGTGCACTCTGCCCAGTGCTTCGCTGGCTTCCCTCCATGTTTTTCCATCATATCCCACTTTGGGCATAAAATCACTTATTCCATTGAGCTCTGATTTCCCATCTCGTCCACTGCAGGCTCTAGGCTCCTACCGGGCAAAAGCAATTACCCTTATTTTGACATTGAATTCTTGAGAAAGGACAGTGCCGAAGATTTCATGACCGGAGCACCTCTGTAAGACAAAAGCACGTTTTTTTTTGCAATGGTAGAGGACTGGTTTTGAGTAGGTCTGCTCCAAAACGCTCCTCGTAGCCCAGTGCACAAATATTCATTAGTATTCCCATTGCTGACTTCCCGCTCTAATGTTTTTCCTGCTAGTCAGTAACACGTCTGAACAGTGATTGTGCTAGTTTGGTCAATTTTGTATTGATTAAAGGTCACACCCTGCAAATTCTCCAAAGAGGGGCAAAGTGATAATATTTTTTGGTGCTATCATGAGCACAGGATCGTTTCAGAGTCAGAAAGATTCTGGGTTTTTCTTTTTCTCATGCATCGAATCATAGATATAATTTTGTACCATATAATAGGCATTTCAGTGCTACTGTGTCCTCAGTCTGGACCGGATGCAAGCAGCTGCTCTGTGGCACTGCAGAGGTTAGATTAAGATAGTCAGCTCTCTCCACGGACTGAAATTTCATCATTATCTTCTAGCATGAGCTTTCATGATAATGATGGGTTTTAAAATGAAAACGATGACATTTTTGACACGTTTTTACAAAATGGCTTTCACCGGAATGTTTGGTAAATCTGAAATGCAGTTTTTGATGTTAACATTTGACAAATAATATTTTTATTATGTCTGCTCAGAGATTTAGTAAAATGTGCTTCGGTGCTTCCAGCATGTACGGCAAATGAAAACAATACGTCCTGTCTGGATTAATTTGTATTACTGCGCACATACCTTTAATCATGTTCCCTGACATCATAATGAGGCTGCATTAAACCCCAAAATGCATGCTACAATAATGTTTTTTTTTCTTTCTTAAATTGAAGACAGAACAAAGCTTTAGATCTTCTCTGAGGACCATTTACCAGCAAAGGCACAGTATGAGATTTTGCCCCAGGATAAGCCTTAGGAAATGGTCAGACATGTAAAGGAGTACTTTAATAATTAAAAAATCAAATCCCTTTGTTATGTTCTACATATATATATGCTTTGCCTGTAATAATAATTATTAATGGCATTCAGCTGCTCCTTAAATATAATTATAATAATTGATTCAACAGTAATAGCTGTTATTAAAGATTTCAGTATTTTAGTATAATATTTTAATGAATTTTCAAATCATGGATTTTTGTCAATTACCCTTTTTCCTACATTTTGAATAGTTTGAGTATGATTGCTATGTACAAGAGATTAAATACTCATATTGTATGTTTTATTTTTCAGCAATATTCACCTTAAGGTAAATTAACATCATAACAGTCCACATAATTATTTTTATTTTATATACTTATTTATTAATATTTTTGGGGTGTCCACTTTGCATGTTAAAATATCTAAACATCTATAGAGGGAATTTTAGCAGTTACGTAGTAAATATGACGTATTTTCCAAATTCTATTCAGAATGTTACACTTATATAGTGCCGACCTTTATGGTGGGTGACACTGTCCCTTCATCCCAAACGGAATCCCCAAAGCCGGCGTGGCAGAGCGGCTCGTGCTTCTGGAATCTTCTGGCTAGCTGTCCGGAGCCATGTGCCTCCCTTCGAGCCTCCGTGGGGTAAATGTGGCCTGAAGAGAAAATGGAGGGTTCTAGAACAAAGCCAGCGCTGAGACGCTCGTTATTGTTCATAGGGGTGTCAGATGGTGCGACATTTGTGTACCTCAGTGTTATTTTCTAAAGATACTCGTAGCATTAATCACGTAAGAGGATTGACAGGCTTTGCTATCAAATTCGCTGGCGATCCTTTTTTAACCGGCAGCCTTTAGCCTTATCTGGGGTCTGCCAAAACGCAGGCCCTGGCACACGGTAGCTTAACGGCGGACTGTTCAGCACGACGGTCTGCCACCTGCTTTGCTCTTAGCGATTTAAGCAAGAACAAGACAGTAAGTGCTCAGCACACAGTGGTAGGATATAACAGAGGGCGCAGAGATTTTTTAGATGACCCAGCGGAAGCGTATCTTCTGAATTAGCAGCAATGTTTTCAAACTGGGTTTGAGTCCTGCCATTAATTTTGCCCAGTTATTCTGTGTAGTAGTACTAAGTAATAGGCTAGGGTAATCATATTTTTGATATCAGTTCTTCATAATTAACAGACTCAATGAATTAGAGGAATGACTTTACTATACTTAAGTCATTAGAGGTGTTTTTAATCAGAAAACATAAAAGTGTAAACTGTCATATTTTATCGGAACGCAGCTTGACGTTATCTTTATTTGGATGCTCTCCCAGAAATATTCTTCTTTTATAGAAGCAGAGCTCGCTGTCATCTGGATAACAAAGGATGTATGATTTAAAATACAGCGGTCTAAGAATAGAGCTTTGTGGGACACTACATTTGAATTCAGAGACATCAGAGGACTTTATTGCAAAAAGAACTCCTTCTGTGTTAACACTGATGTTAAACTGAAATAATGTAGGTAGGATTTTTGGATTACTTTTAAAAATATCTGATTGCTGGTAGGATAAGTAGTTCTGTTCTTTCTGTGTTAAAATACAGCTTATTTTCCCAGGCCTAAATCACATCTAATGTGTGGATAGCATCCAAATCGTAATGCAACCTTCAGGGTAATGTGTTTGCCATTTTGGGGGGGGGCTCGTTAACAAGTGAAACTCAA